ATTTCAACGTAAGAAAACAGGCCCTTAGATCATAAACTTCTACACACTTTTTTAATGAAAGAGATTAATCTATTGCTCATGGGCCCATGGCTTGATGGTAATGCACTATAATGTAGCATGAAGATAAATCACAATCTATAATATCATTAAAAAAGGATAAATCATAGTAATGAAACCAAAAAATGGTCCAAATGGAGGCTAATAAAGAGCTGAAAGACTTGGCGTGTGAATTAGTGACCGTGTGGGAGGGGGCGAGTGAGTGACGACGTCGACGGTTCCAAAAAGAGTTTCTACTTTTTACGGACTACATTATTATTTCCAACTCAGAATATACCCACCCTATTATATTCAATCCGTGTTTCATTTCCTTTTCAGTCTTACTCATAACAAGTTCGAATAGTAAGAAAATAGTACAGTAAAATAACAATAGTGTGAAAACTACAAACTTCATTCTTCTTATGTGGCTTTTGCTTAATTAGTAATTTTGAGGGAAAAAGAGAGAAGGAATGATCACGCTTAATTAGTTGACATCTTTTTATTATCACGCTTCTTAACGTATGTTTTTTAACGATTAATATATCTAATTATCAATATTATAAAATTATAAAAAGTAAATATTAATAAAATATATATTTAAGCGATTCAAACAAGATCCAAATGAATATGTTTTATCGTACCTATAAACCACAAAAGCAAGTCAAAGATTTTTACTCGTATGTGAATAGTGTAAAAGTTAAACGGCGTCAACTAAAAAAACGGAGGAAGTATATAATTGAATAGACTTAGATTCACGACATTTTTGTTAAAATGACCCTAATACCATATCAAAGAATCAAGTCAACCAAAAACTTAATTACTTGTACTACTTATATATTTGAAGTTTATAATTAGTTTATGTACACTATTAATTTCCATAGGAAAAAGGGGAATTTAAAATTTATTTTAATGTTATAAGTAGTGTAGGTGCAATTTAATGCCGAAATTTGAAGTCAACACTCCTAACCTGACATGCAAGGGATCGAAAATGTTTTTTTACAAAAAAAAAAATTGTTGTCACATGAAGACGTGAAGTGCAAAAGCGTAATGGTTGTACCATGAGAAATGATATAGTAAGAGATAGTGGGGTGAGGATATATTATTAAAATGTAAGGAATTTCTAAAAGAGAAAGTGTGTCACCTTAAAAAAAAAATGGCCGTTTAAAGAAAGTGTGTTACTTAAAAAAACACGGAGGAAGTATTAAGGAACACATATATGATATATCATACTCTGTATTATTCATTGGAAAATGGATATATAGCTTTATTTCAGGCTTATTGTTGTTTTTGTTGTTGTTGGTGGTGGTGATGGTGCTATTATAGTTTTTCAATTTTTGTTTTTAGATTCAAAAGGTCATATGACCTAATTTGTATGATGAACTTATACTTGATCATAAACTTAACTATTCAGGTTAGTTTTCAAATACTCGTTCCATTTTTTTTTTTAGTGTATCATTATTTTGACCGATGCACATTTTGGCCATCAATATTTCAACATTACGTTGAGAAGAAGAAAAAATAAATAAATAAAAAATTGGAGGGATGAGTAGCTATTTTTACTTTTCAAAAAACTGAAACCTAAATACGATACCTAACAAGACCTTAATTTTAACATAAGACAAGCGCGAGTATATCAAAATGAAAAATAAAATACTGTAGTATAATTAGGGGATTGTAAGACCACATATATATGATTTTATTATAATGATTCATTTGTCATTCACTCATTCCCCCTTTAAGCTACAAGTGATGATTCATAATGATGCTTTAGAAAAATGGGCAACCCAGTCCAAAAAACTTTAGTTTTCAACAGTATAATTGTTGAAACCCATTGTATCCCACTTGTGAGTGTCCCACATTGGAGAAAGAGGAGAAGTGGTTCCACTTTATAAGGTAGAGGAGTTACTCCTACTATTGTCAATTGGTTTTAGTGTGGAAGCTCCAAAGCCTAGTTTGTGGACCAAACTCTCCTCCTCCTTGTTCAGATTGCCCAAGCCCATTCCATATTGTTTCAAAATTTATCAATAATTCCTTTTATAATGCATCAATTAAAGGGTATGATGAAGCTAATACCTGGGAAATATAAGGTTGTCAATGGCTGCTGCCTTAGTGAACAACCAAGGAAGGTTTTATTTGATAGTGATCAACACACTTGTAAACTAACGTTGGTTGTTGCAACTGTTTTTACTCGATTTTCTTGTTTGAAAACGCAGCAGGTAGGGTTTCAGCAACATTTGATACCAACACAACACTAATGCTTACTTTCTAGTTTCAACGGTTCATTGTCTTTGTCTTTTGATGAGCAATAAACCTATTCTTACGTATGATTTAGAATCGCCTCATTATTTATTATTGTTTTTGTCAATTTCATCGAAAATGCTAGCTAGGTAGGACATTTTTCAAATTAAATCCGTCTTTGTACATCAACATTATGTCATATGATCTCATCGTGACTAACATGTACTGATGTACTATATATGTTACAAGTTTGAATTAAAGCGACACAAATATGTATCGCTAGGCTCTTCATTACCGTAACTATAAGGACTATTATTGAACAATACATAAGTTCTTAAATCGGTACCGATTATGCTTTGTTCAATATTTATACTATTAGTTTTCTATTTAATTATTTTACATTAGCATGCAAAAGATATGTTGGAAAATTTTCTAGCCAATAATTAATTCTACGTACCAATAACCATTATTTTTAATAATAAAGAAATTATTATCTTACTAATCATGTGCTTCATGTCATTATCTATATATTGACATTAAAATTAACATGATATGGTAATCTCAAAACATACGATTCCTTTAGATCCTTGAAAATTCTTTTTTTATTAATTCGAGTCATTTATTTGGTCACATCTACTTCAAGTAAACTTCATTTTAATCATCTAACTAAGGTCAAACAAAAAAACCTTTGTTTGTACGAAAACTCTTTAGTAGTTCAAACTTATAACATTGCATGATGTAATTCATTGTACAAACTTAGATCATCATTTTGGACCAACAAGGTTCTACCACGACATTAAATCATAAGAAATAATAAATTCTCCGTGTTTGATTTAATATTTTTACTCGTCTAATTAAATGTGAAAATAATTTAATGTGAACCATAACACAAGAGTTATGGATGCTCCACCATTTGAATCTCAGGTTCAATCTTGGTAGTAAGTAATATAGTACCAAGTAATAAATCCTATGCTAGTACCGTTGAATTTTGTGTGTCTAGTTCATGAACATGAATGCTTAGAAGGTAATAAAATGGTCCATATATTTTAGGTGCAATTGCTGAGGATGTCTATTGCTTCCAGAATTCCAGCAGGTAGGCATAAATTTTTGATTGAACTCTTTATCCTTTAGTTTGACTTCATGGTTCATTAGAACTGTTAGGTTTTTTTTCTTGAGACTTGGGGCTCCAGTCCCCGCCCAGTTATTGTTGCAGGAAATTAAGCATGCGGTTCCTTAATTACAAATAATACAGTCCCAATTATTGCAACACCAATAATCAATCGGTACATGAATTGTATATAGTTACGTGTTACAACACACATGTAAGCTCACACATACATTTCATACCCAAAGACCCACCCTCCTATCTCTCCCTACTATGACTTGACCCTTAGAGTTCCAAATTCTATTTTGCTATTATTTTGAATTTTATCGGAATAATATAATTTAAGTAAGCATAAGAAAACAAAGTAGACAATTACAACTTATTGTCGAGTACCAATTTTTTGTTTTATCGATCGTCACTATGAAACAAAATACAATGCAAATTGATTTGGAAAACAATTGTCACTGAATGTCTTGTATCCCTGCATATTAGTCACAAGTTAAACAGAATTAGCAGCCAGAAATAAATATTTTTTTTATAAACTATAAACAGCATTTGCAGGACATCAAGTAAAGGTCTGTTCTCTTACGTTGAAATTCAGTTCAGTTCAGTTCAGCTCAATTCAATTCAATTCAGTTCAGTTCAGTTCAGTTTAGTTTAGTTCAGTTCAGCTCCTAATTTCCTTCTCTTATAAAATATTCAGTTCAGTTCAGTTCAGTTCAGCTCAGTTCAGTTCAGTTCAGCTGAGTTCAGTCAATGAGAACAAGCCCTAATAATGTCAAAGACAGTACATTGCTATTTATTTGTTACCCGTGTTTACTATATAATTATGTACTTTGGAAAACTAAAGAAAATGATTAGATTGATCACTGAAGATTTTCGCTTGACGAAAAAATTTAATACTATGTAAGGTAATTTATTTGAAAGATATTCGATCAAATTTTCCAAGAACTACAACAATGTTATAAACATGAATTGTTCCCCAATTTTGTTATATCAAACAAATTATATTTGACATCTACAATATGCACTAGTTTGACCCTAAGAGTGTGTTTTATTCATCTAATTTTACTTATAATAAACTTATCTTAAATTCTCTGAACTTGTTTTACGTTATGCAAACTTATTTTAGTTGAAATTTGCACTCGACTAACCCTTATTAAAACTTACTTTTCCTGAACTGAACTAATCTAAACTTATACTCCGTATGAATTTATTTGAACTCATTACATTTAAAATAATGTCAATTGTATAAGCACTAATTGATCCATAAACTATGACTGATAACACTCGTGATGTATCTTTTGGGCATTCCCATGGGATGCCACTAAACTCTATTGCTGCTAATATATAATTTTATCCCCCTTTCTTCAAAAAAAAAAAATAAAAAATTTCATTTGAAATAAGCTTGGTTAAGTTGATCTTGAACCAGGAGCCATGTCATATCCGCAATTTAACCCGTTCTTATATAAGTGGGCGTGATAGAGTATATAAATTAATTAGACTTTAACTATCCTCTTAAAAAAGTAATTTAATACTCTTGTAATCAACTAATCATCATTCCCTGATTATTTGTAATTTGGAAACTTTAAAGGAATCTACCATATGATAATTTTTTTTATTGAGGGAATCTACCATATGATTTTTTTTCCCACTTTACTATGTTAAAAAGAGTTATATAAATCACATTAGTATAAATTACAAAAAAAAAAAAAAAAATTTTAATACATATATCAACTAATTCAACTCTCAATCTTCTCCCAAAAAAAAAAAAAAAAAGTAATTTTAATTTTAACGTACTTCTTATCCAAATTACCTGTCTCTTCTCTATCATCACAGTCCACTAATTACCTCAAACACACAATTTTTTCACTCTATATAAACCCACAATTTTCCCTAACGTATACACCTAACTTCCTCTCATTCTCCTCTGTTTCCCCTCTATTTCTTCTCCTCTGTTTTATTTTTTCCTCTGTTTTCACAAACTCCAAATCCAGAAACCAACACAACAATGGAGGACGGAAATTACGATCATACCCATCACCACAATGTGAACTTTGCTCAACCAAGAAAATTTAAAGAAAAATTAAAATCCAGTCTTGCTGAAACATTTTTTCCCGACGATCCTTTTAGAGGATATAGCAATGACCCTCCAAAACAGAGATTAATTAAGGGAATTAAGTATTTTGTTCCGATTTTCGAGTGGCTTCCGAGTTATAATTTTAGCCTTTTTAGGTATGATGTTCTTGCTGGTCTTACCATTGCTAGTCTTGCTATTCCTCAAGGTATCAGTTATGCTAATCTTACCAAAATTCCTCCCGTCATTGGCCTCTGTAAGTACCTACATCTTTTCTTGCTTCTTCTTTCGTTTTTGGAAAACTTTTGTATACATCCGGTTTTCAGTAACTTACTGTACATCGGGTATACTTTTGCCAGATTTAGTGTCACTTTTGTCAAATTTAGTGTCACTTTTGTCAAATTTATCAATAAAACATAAATAACTCTTATATATGCCACGGTAACTTTTGTGCGTTTTAGTGTAACTTTTGCACATTTTATTGTCATTCTATAACGGATGTTCAGTAATTTACTGAACATCCGTTTTATTTAAAAGTTTGTGTTCGTTTTTATAAATTAATTATTAGCGGAAAGTCAAAGATAGCTCGAGTGGTTAGAACTTCCCTCCCGATTTTAAGAGATACTGGATCGATATAACAAAATTATCAGCGAATTTATTTCTATAAATGTCGTAAGAAATAGTCTATCGATATAACTCCTTAGAGTTTCCTTCTAATGTGGATCGTGCATTAGTCTTTGACTGTGTTTATGCGGTTATGTATTTTCTTAGGCAGTTTTATAGTAACTTGTTTTTTTTTACTACGTGTGTATAATTGTATATACGAATTTATATAAGCTATATTATACTCGGAGATTCATATATACACCTGGTGCAAGATGCACATATGAATTTGGTCATTTTCAATTTGTATTAGTCCGTGGTATAAATCACAAATGCAAATTTTCTTTAGACATACGAATTATTTGGTCGATTAATCTAATTTTTAATCTATTGAACACAGAAAAGTTATCTCAAATCTGTACAGTTTATATCTCAAATCAATTGAGGTTTGTTTTTTTTTATTACTTTTAATCAGCTATTTTGTTTACATATAACTATATAAATACTCCGTAGTAATTATTCTTTAGTATTTTCTTGTGATAAAAAAAAAATCATTAATGATTAGTAAAAGAGATTCTATAAAAAGTATCTATGGGCACTTTTTAAGCTAAGATAGATGCTATATAAAGGGATTAAAATTAATTATATAGATACGAATAAAACATTTTATCATAAAATAAAAATATATTCTTTCCATGTTGCTAGAAAATAAATTGAACTTAACAAGTGTAGGTCCTAAAATTGAATACGAATTAATTAATGTCACCAAGATCGCAAAAACTAGAATATACTGAGTACAATAGACCAATAATATTTATATTATTTATCTTGAAATATCAACTTAAAATTATTGTACACGACTTAGAAAAAATGATGTGTACTGAGAGAAATAAAACATTTTTTTGTCGTATGACATAGAATTAAAGACGGGTGCAGTAGCAGCAAGGATAAAAATAAAAGTATAGGTTGGACTCCAAGCTATATTATGTCTACTAGTGTGACTTGTGTCTATCAAGATCGTCGTCTAAGATACGTAAATTGGGGGGCTAGAAGGCGACATTGGGGCCTCACGTATATGTTAATTGTCTTCTGTGATTTATATATGCGTAGAATATGTCGAAAAAAAACTTAGCTTATTATCCATCAGGTAAATCAATTGGTAGTTGGAAGTTCAAACACGCTCAATTGATTTTAATTTTATTTCATTTAATGATATTGGTTACGTTATTAAATACCCTATTATCAGTAAAGTCGTGGCTTTGTCTCGTGGAGTGGTTAATGTTGAAGCTAAAATTTAACCTACCCTTTGTTAGCTTATTGGATGTCCGTGTGTTTTTCAATTTAACGTGATTAGACTTAATTGTTGTAGAAAAAAATGTTGCAAAAACTTTCTAAAATCACAATCAAAATTAATTAATCATAAATTAATTAAATGCAGATTCAAGTTTTGTGCCACCATTTATATATGCTGTATTTGGGAGTTCAAAGAATTTGGCCGTGGGAACGGTGGCGGCTTGCTCCTTACTCATAGCAAACACTATTGGAGAGACGGTTTCGCCAACGGACAACCCGTCTTTGTATCTCAGCTTGGTGTTCACTGCTACTTTCTTTTGTGGAATCATTGAAACTGCTTTGGGTCTATTAAGGTAATGCATGTCTTTTTATGTATGCATATTGCATAACATTCACGGAGTGTTTCGTGCATATTTTAGATCGATCAAAAAATGAGTCAATTATACTTTGTAGTAAATAAATTACATGGCCTAATTAAACGATAAACTACCCCGTATAAGTTTACCTTATAAATGTTTATTATATTTAATTAGCCCTAAAACTTATTTATATAAGATGAAGAGAATACACCCATAGTAATAATATGTCGATCAAATTTCTTTTAATGGTGAGTCGACTTTTGGTGACATAGGAGCTTTGTGTTATAGGACTATAGGAGTATACTATTCTATTATGTGCATGACTTAATGGGTTGGTATGTTAAATTACCTTGTCCTATCACATCGGAGTTTCTTAGTGATTTAATACTAAAAAGTGTTAACATTATAAGTAGAGGGGAGTTGGGAAATAGTCCAGGTTGTATCTGAATATTTGGTTTAGGGGTCCATAACTCCATTTCCTAGTCAAAAACATTTCTACTTTTCATATGGTTTCATGGATGAGTCAAAGTTAATGATTTCACATTCGATTAGTTTTTACAATAAGTTAGATTTTTTTATTAGTATGATTAATGCTTGCTATTAATTAATTAAAATTGAAGTCGACGAAATGACTTTACTAAAATGGAAAAATTGTTGTTTGTATATATTAACTTTTGGTTTACAGAGAGTCACAAAGGAATTTAGGTTTTAAAGTCAACGAGTTGGATCTATTATGAATACAATGTAAATTCACGCAAGTATTAATTGTAAATGATGATATTAATTTGTGCTTTCCTAGTGTTATAGTACGTAGTTGGTTACTTTGAACCATATATACCAATATACCATGACGTGCCACCAACCTTTTGCTGATTTTATGAGACCAATTAGCGTGTCAAGATCGATCATTTTCTAAAAATAATGAAAAAAGTACCAAAGAGGTGATGAAATTTGAAATATGAATTTGATCTAGTGTTCCAAATTATCTATAATTTGGATCAAAATTAGGTAGGATACTGTGATCTGTCTATGATGTAGATTTTTCAAACATGACTAATGCTCACATGTGAAATACCTAAGTATATACTTGTATCAAAAGTACTTCAATGATGGAAATGTTGACAACAATCACAACATTAAATCATACTCCTAGTACAACTTTCTTGATTTATAAAGCGATTTTAACATATTTTCCATATTCAATAAAACAATTTTGTTAATTACTCAACGCACACTAATAGTTTCCTGTTCTTAATCTATTACATGCCTTAACGACAGACAATCTTTTCCTTTTGGGCGTAATATCCCTATTTTAGCTTCTTATTCATAACTCTTTCGTGTGACATTTAGCATTGAATATTGTGTGTTTCAGCTTAGAAGGCCAAGATTTAATTATATCATACACCCGTGCAATAAATCATTTAAATCTAATCCGAAATTGCACGAACCCTATTAACATAAAAAATTTGTTCCATTTAATTTTCAGATTAGGAATTCTGGTGGATTTCCTATCACATTCAACGATTACTGGGTTTATGGGAGGAACAGCAGTGATAATTATTCTGCAACAGTTAAAGGGATTTTTGGGGTTGACACATTTTACTGCTAAGACTGATATTATCTCAGTAACGAAAACCTTGCTCAGCCACAAAAATGAGGTACATTACACATCTTACCTTTTCAATTCTATCCTTTAAATTTATGGCTGTGTTTTATTATTATAAAGATTAAGGCCCTACTTCTTTGTTATGTCGTTTTATGCTTTTATTAGTATTATCCTTGATTGATAGTAACAATAATTCCCTTAGTTTGTAAAGCACACCAAATACAAAAATGAGTTTTTTGTTTTCACCTTTAAATCACCATACTGATGATTAATACTACCTCCGTTACATATTATTTACAACGATTTGACATAAAGTAGAGAGAAAAAATGTCTAATCGTTGCAAATAATATGTAACGGAGGTAGTACATACAATATGAAATTATAAATACGCGACATATTTTGTATGTACCGTCATATGCACAAATGCATATGCCTTGTGAGCCCTTTGAGGTCACAAATTCGAGCCCACCAAGGGCACCAACTACATGAGAGTAGGGAGATTCCCCTATCTCCCCCGTTCCCTCTATTCTCAAGGGTTGACCTACAGAGTTGAACTGTCTTAATCTTTTAGAAATGTTGATTCAATAGGGTCCTTCATCTTACCTTGAAAAACAAAATTATACAAATATACTCGACTGTACATTTGTCCGTAACAAGATACAATATTATGTTTAAACGTACATATATTAGTACATCTTATTATTAATGGAACACTCCATATTTTTTTTCTGATTTTTGATTGAATATATGATTAAAGGTAAAGCTTAGTCTTGTATCATTCAACAATTTCTGTTTGATTTTTGTTGGATGAAGTGGGTCCCAAGTTATAAGTTGCAAACTTGAATTTTTCTCATTACTTGCATGATTGAGGAAACAGATCATCATCACTCCCCTTTGTATGTTGTAACGATAGTCAAATTAGCAGTTATTGAATTGAGTTGTAATTTTAATGTTTGAATTATTTGTGTGTATATGCAGTGGCATTGGCAGAGTGCACTTATTGGTATAATCTTCCTTGTTTTCCTACAGTTCACTAGATACGTGGTTAGACTCCTCTCTTTACCTTCCTTATTCTACTTTTTCATTTACTTTTAATTTCGTCTTTGATTAAAAAAAAAAAACAGTTGATTTATTCACAAAAACGTCCTGGGATAAACAATCACAGAGATAAACATGGGCGTCCTTGAATTAATTTAAATGCGCTTTATTATTTGTTTTAAAAAAAATCTCTATAAACGTAACAACACATGATTGACATTTTGGCATAGTGTATAAATGGATCTTTGGACGGTCCAAAACTTGATCCTGTATGACTCGTGATGTAAGGAATATATATGCTGATAATTATAATGTAATGTAATTCAAAGATTCTATAACTCGTGATTTTGTGAATCATGTTAGCATGCAAATTTATATTTTATTTTTAATCCTTTCTTTGATTCTGTGGACAGAAAACCAAAAGACCAAAGCTATTTTGGATTTCAGCCATGGCTCCTCTGGTGGTTGTCATAGTCGGCGGCCTTTTCGCCTACCTTGCCCATGCCGAAAAATTTGGTGTCCAAATAGTGAGTTGCCACATTTTGTTACATACTGCTCTTATATTCAAATTGACTAGGCAAAATATTACATGAAATTGTCTTGAACACTTCATAAGACCATAACACAAACGTCACAAAATTATATACCGTGATCTAGGTATACAAACAATAAACGTTACACGATCATAGATGGGTTTAAAATGTATTCTAGCATGTATTAAGTTGCAAAATCATGACATGTTTCAATACCTTTGGAATGTTGGACTTATTTTAGTTTTGGTATTTTATTCATAGGTTAAGAGTTACGTTTATCATTTTCCTATGTTAGAAACGATTTTTCCATTGAATTAACGATTGATGGTGCATATTGCAGGTTGGTCATTTGAATAGAGGGATCAATCCATCCTCCATTAAACAATTGAACTTTGATCCCAAGTACATTGCTACACCTATTAAAGCTGGAATACTTACAGCTATTCTCGGTCTTGCTGTAAGGCTACTAATTCGTCTTTGCTTTAATCAGTACTTAGTGTTAATGTTCCAAAAATAATTGAATTCATTAATCAGAATAAGAAAAATTTTAATTTGAGGTATGGAATCTAATGTAACAGGAAGGAATTGCCATTGGAAGAAGTTTCGCGATAATGAAGAATCAACAGACTGATGGTAACAAAGAGATGATCGCGTTTGGTCTTATGAACATTGTTGGCTCATTTACTTCTTGTTACTTGACTACAGGTTTGTCCAAGTTTCTTCAACTCTGAAAAAAAAAAATTATTAGACTTGATCAGGATTTCATGTTAACAAATTTATATGTTATGTGTGTTTCTTATGTATGTATATATGCAGGGCCATTTTCGAAGACTGCTGTAAACTTCAATGCAGGATGCAGAACACAAATGTCCAATGTGGTGATGGCGATAATTATGATGATGACATTGTTGTTCTTGGCACCTTTGTTTAGTTACACTCCTATGGTTGCTCTTTCTGCAATCATCATGTCTGCCATGTTCGGTCTAATCGAGTATGACAAGGCGTTCCACCTCTATAAAGTTGATAAATTTGACTTCTGTATTTGCATGGTTGCCTTCTTTGGAGTCACCTTCCTCAGTATGGATATTGGCCTTGGGATGTCGGTAAGAATAGCCTCGTTTATCTGAGTCTTTTGATGTTGTTTTTATGTACTCAGAAAATTTACTTCTTTGCTTGGTTTAATGTATTCATACATTTTGCAGATTGGATTGGGAATTATAAGGGCACTACTATACACAGCAAGGCCAGCAACCTGTAAGTTAGGGAACCTTCCTAACACAAATCTGTATCGCGACATAGAGCAATACCCTACAGCACAAGGGACTGCAGGAGTCCTGATTCTTCAACTAGGCTCCCCGATTTTATACTCAAACAGCACATATGTTCGAGAAAGGTGATTGATTAGTATCAAACTCGTTTATAGCCCCAGAGTTTCTTAGGATGTTCTTATAGCTAAATACTTGTGTTTAATGTCATGCAGAGTTCTAAGGTGGATTAGAGATGAGGAATTGAACAAGGATTATCAAGGGGATTCCGTTGAGCACCTTATTTTGGAATTAGGAGGTAATTACATTCATCTCACTTTCATGTCTCAAACATTAATATATCATCAACATGTGGGGTAGAGAGTTGAAAAGTTCGATATTTTCTTACTATAGGAGTGACAACTATAGACATGACCGGAATTGAGGCTTTGTACGAATTGAAAAGACTCCTAGGAGCAAAAGAAATCAAGGTATGTCACATTCTTTCATCTCTCTAGTTGAGTATATACTTCTCGGATTCTTTGTTTTATGTTTATAGTATGTGTTAAAAGATCGCGACTTATAGTTGGTTGTTCATAAAAATGCAGATGATACTGGTTAATCCAAGGATTGAAGTAATGGAGAAGTTGATAGCTTCAAAGTTCATTGATGTAATTGGCAAAGAATCTGTATTTTTGTCAATTGATGATGCAGTTGAGGCTTGTAGATTTAGATTGGGCGGCCCAAGTAAATTGAATGGGGCAGAACAAGCATGAAGCTCCACATTTTTGTGTTGTAAAGAAGGGATAAATTTGCAATGCTATTGCAATTGCCATGTAATATTTTAAATGGGCTTTTAAAATTTTGTAACAATTGTGGGCCCAAGTATACTTTGAGGCTGAATGGGTGCAAAATGTTCTCCTACTTCTAAAAGAAGAGGAACAAAGAGAGGTGGAGGGGTGGGGAAGATGTGCTAATGCATGTAGTATTTTAGAAGGTATATTGAGGTTTTCATTCTTTGTGGTGCTTTAAATTTGTATAAATGATGTTGTATGGTTGTCGAAATCTATAATGAAAGCCATATTAATAGGCGTTTGCCTAGTTTTGCAATAGAATTTTTACAATTTAAGTCATTTATAGTACTTTATCGATCCTAGATTTCATTTAGTTCACTTTTGTCAAACAGACTACTGTAACGCGATTTATCAAACCAAATCACAACCACTTGTTAAAAAAATTGGTTTGACTGTATGAACCCATCGTAAGCTTGAAAAAGCACAAGAGACATGATGGTGGGCCATTACTGATACACGGACATCATATTTCAAATTAGGCATGAGCTTGACACAATCATAAAAAGACTGACATAATTAATTAATAATGAGGTTCGCAATAAGGGTGGCCATGACACTACAAATGGGCACTGAGCCAAATCATGCATGAGCTTCGTTTATGAAATAGTGACACGAGCACGATATTCCATAACACCTTTTAAGTTTGACCCACTTGAACACGAGGCCAACTAAGCTATGGCTAGATAGTTAAAGGTTTAAACAGGCCAACAAAGCCCATTAAAGCAAGAAATTACTAACTATAAAATCAACACAAAGTGATCAAAATTAGGGTAAATGGAAAGAACAAGAAAGAGGCAAGGAGAGGCCATGGGAGTTTATGAGGACCGTTTGCCACTCTCCTCTTTGCCGATGATTTCTGCGACCAAATTAAACGGCCCTCAAACAATCATCATCATCAACAACAACAACAAAAACAACAATTATACTTGTACAACTTCTACTCCATTTTTCTTGCGTTAACTAAACGCCCCCTTATTTTATACGGAGTACAAATTACATGAAATAATAATAATAATAATAATAGTAATAATTTTATGAGGCTGTGATGATTTTGTTCTTTCCATTGTTGTCGATTTCAGTTTGGATTTGTGGCTAATTTCTTCGAGTTGGGTAATTTTCCCATTTGGCTTGGCAGCAATTTGATTTTGATTTAGGTTTTATGCGTTTGTTGGTGATTTTTCTCTCCTCAAATGCTTAGACTCAAGTCTTGTTATTTTGATTTGCCGCCTTTTGGTTGATTTTTTTCCCTTTTTTGAAATTTGCTGCACCAAATTGGTTGATGAATTCCAGATCTGAGCCTCCAAAAATTAAAAATTAACTTTTTTTTTCTCTCTCGACTAAATCGGTTTTTGGGGTATGAGTTTTGGAGCAAATTAATTTTCAGAAATTATTGATGGGGTTAAAGAGGGTGTCTTTGATTTTCTGGGTTGTTAAAGATTGAAACTTTAATGGGCATTTTAAGACTATTTGATGGATATTGAAAGTACTACTATTATTATAGATAAACTTTATTATCTTACCATTGCAATTGTATCATTGTGCCATTGATTGTGAACAGCATAGCAAGTGAAGGACAACATTCAGCTCTATGCCTCTATCCCAAAAGACATTACATAGCAAGTTGTATTATTACTTATTAGTCACAGACTCACAGTTGCACATAATTATTGACGGAAACTAGAGTTGTACATGAGTCAAGTCGGCCTAATATGGCTCGTTACCGGTTATATTTGGTATTGTATTGATCATATTCAACCTATTATCACAAGTTATTGATCAACAAACGAAATAAGGCAAATTGGTACTCCATATGTGGAACTAACGAATTGCATAGCTAAATGAAGTAAACCCTATATCATATTAGCAAATTAAATCAAAATCATTTGGAACTGAATGGTTAGACACCTAAACCCTGTATCACACAAGCAAATTAAATCAAAATCATTTCCGATTAAATGGTTAGAAGGTTAAACTCTAATCTACTCTTACATAGTTGCACAATTGCTTGCAGGATTATAACAGTACATACTCCGCCCTCAGCGAAAGTCTGCTGCTGGAGGTTCGTTCTCTTTCAACCCCATTTCTTTCTTATTTTCCCCTTTATTTGATGTTAAAATTATAATTTTGATTTAAATGCTTAGAATTTACTTGCTTCTTTCATTAATTTGGATTTACTGGCTTCCTGCATAATTCAGTATTTTCATCAATTTAGAAGTGAAAATTCTAATTCGAAATATAAAGGGGAGTTGTAGAATAATGTTTTCATGTTAATTCTCTGTATTCTGAATTATCTTATCAATTAACTCCCGATAAAAATAAATAAATAAATGCTGAAATGTCGATTTTGAGCAAGTTATTTTTCTTGAATGAATTTTGCAGAACACAATTTGAATAGTACTAATGCGTAGAATCAGACTACTGTAATTGAGTTGCAAAAGCAGAAAATTGGGTTCATAAAGCTGATTTTTGTAGAATTTTGCAGTCCATACTTCATAGGATGATTTAGCAGTATTGTAGTGACTATTGATTAAGGCTGAACAATCCTAAGATTAAGACTATAGCGAGGTTTTTAGCGAGTTATTGCTGTTGCTGCTATTGCTGTTAGCATGCTAGTATATAATGTATATTAAGTTTGAAGTTGCGATTTGAAGATAGGAGGATGGAATGTGTAAAAGAGCACCAGAAAAGTTGTTATGTAAAAACTTAGTGTTAAAGCTGCTTCCTTTGTTGAATTGAGTTTAGTTGAGGTTAGTGCAAATTGCTAATCCAGAACCTCGGGAACCTGCCAGCTTTTTATGGACTGTTTAATCTAGAGTTAGAAGAAGAGAAGCTTTCAAAATTAGCCTGCTGCGATTTGTGACTGTAATGGGGCTGTACAATTGTGGAGTTTTATAGCAGTAAATTTAGTATATGTATAAGCCGATCCTTGTGTAAGGTTAAGCCTGCAATTAGGTTGCCCAGGAGCATGTATAAGGGTTACATTTGTAGGAAGACATCTAAAAGGATTAAAAGTAAGTCTAGAATTTTGTTTGGGTCCATTGGTTGACCCACTAGAGAGAGTGAATAAGATATCACTAGTGCAGAAAACGTCTCTCATCCTGCACTTTGAGGAGGGTAAGGTGTTGATGTTTAAAGTAGAAAGAGAGCAAAGAGAAGAACTTTTAAGAGAAGAACCTTTGTGGGTGTTGAAGAACAATAGGTCCAAAACATAGATGGTACATTAAGAACTTAAAATCCACAGTTTGCTTGTCGGTGTACGCAAAGAGTATTACCTCATATATATTTTTGCATATGAACATGGAATTGACTGTATTACATCATCAAATAAGATAAAGAAACTAAAATTCTTAAGGAAATCCCTTTAATTGCCTTGACCGACTTCACATAACCTTCAAGAGGTTTCTGTATGACCTAGTTATCCATTTTATGTTGTGGAGGACGCAATAGAGAAATTGCTTTGGGACTTGATACAAATCCGTTGGTGGTATTTTGTGATTCTATTACCTTGATGAAGCTAATACTAAAGGCTATAATTCACGGTTCTTGAGGCCCTTTAAGAGTTCATCACAATATCTCAAAGGAGGGGGAGAGGGGTGGAGGTTTCTAGGTCGCTTATAGTTAACAGGCGGTTGAACAATCAATACCCTTTATGATAGGCTTTTTTTTAAAAAAAAAATTTGCTTGGCTACACATCATTTTACAGAACAAACCTTGGGCATGTGGATTTCTATGTTGTTTTGATAGTGGATTAAGCAAAAAAGGACTCTGAGATTGCTACCTTATGGAAACTGGGATAAATAGTCATCAAAGAAGTGCAGTTACTTTTTCCAGGAAAAATTATTGTTTATGTGATTGGTAAAGAGGATTCATGATGGTAGAATTTATCGTCGACTCATAAATCATAGGGCTTTAATTATGACATTGATGATGATGATGCATGATGATTGATATATCAATTGTTATTAAAAGTTATGTTTCATGAGAGCTTTCCAAATTCTCAACTCTCAACCCACAACCAATCTTGCTAAAATGTTTTGAGTTTCGCTAAATCCCTTCAACTTAACATACCACCTGCTCAACTTTTTTGACCTGATCCTGGGCCAAGTTCAACTTTTTTTTTTTTTTTTTTGTTGTTTACAGCTGGGAATATTGAGCACTGATTATAGCTGTTGAGCATTAAGACTTGAGCTCATAGGGCATATAGCGTGAGAGAAGTGTTTGCTTTATGTTCTAAATTCTAGACTGGAGTGCCAAACTCCTAAACCTTCATGTTTTCTGTGTATACTTTATTTTCAATATTCATACCTTCTGTCCTTATTAATGAGATCAAGCTTCCTTAATATTAGTTTGCTTGATTTTGAGAACCATGTTCTTTGGATTTTCCTTTATTATGGAAAGATTGGGTATAAAGGATAACACCACTTCTCTCTCTCACAATTTCGTTATCAATCTTCAGAGACTCATGTTGTCTGTGATCAGATATAAAGTATTGCTGATGATTTCTGGCTGAATTACATCAGAATACTTTACATTTTTGGGTGAAAGGAATTTTTCATATACTTCATATATTATTTCATTTTTCAATATAGATGTTTTCTCAACATGTCTTTGCAAAGCTGGAAGAACTAAATTAACATGTCCAAGACATCAAGTTATTGTATGTCTTGAATCCCTTATTTTCTTTTGAACTGAACCTTCATCTGTCTCAATTTGCTAATGATATATTGCATCATCAGTTGTTAAATTGCCTTTGATATGAATTTTACTAGAGTAGAGTTTGATCTGACGATTTGAACCTGCTATTTACCGCTTCATAGGGTGGTGACATAGGCTGTACTGAATTCAAACCTTATCTGATAACCAAAGATATCATACTAAGAACATGTTTATAACGCAAGAATACTTTAATTTAGACACTTTACCGGCAATTTTTTTTCCTTTAACCTTTCATTTAGCTCTTTTGCGAATAACTTCCTTTATAAAATGTATTTAAAACTTAAAAAGGTGCTTGTAAACAGTTCTATATATACATGTAAAATGGTAATATCAAACACATTTTTTTTTCTTTTTCGTTTACTTTTCCTTCAATGCTGTAAAGTTTTTCTCTTTAGGTTTATCATGCTAGCTTGTATTGATGTCGTACAATGTTTATAGTGACTTTTATAAACTGTGGTCAAGTGAAGCATAAATACGGATACAAAATGACTTTTGTTTGTATAATGAACCCTGACTGTGGTGGCCACATGTTCAAGTCCATCCTCTAGATAAATGCTGTCTTTAAACTCATATATGTGACACAGTGACTCCTTGTTTCAGACATTATGCTCTTATTTTTAAGTTTCAAATGTTGATTTCAACCTCTGAAGTCTAGAATTATCTCTTTACAAGGCTTGTATTCGCTCACAAGTTCACATTCTAAGTCTTTTTTAGGATTTATTTAGTTCATGATGTTATTAATGGTAAGAAGTAATTTGAGGTTCTTAACTGTTTTTGTGTTTGGGGTACTAGTCAGTGCAAGAAATTTGAATTTCCACACCTAAATTACTCTTGAGTCGTGGGTCAGACTGCCTTCCTCTCAAATTTTCATTTGGCGCTTTTATACTTGAGTCAGTGGGACTACTTTGCTTGATTACCTTAGAACAGATTCCAGCTGTCTTAATACATCATTTGTTGATAATGTCTCTTTTAGATCTTTTCATAATCGTATTAACTTTCAAATATAGTCAGTATCAACCTGGGGTCTCATTGTTTTATCGTGATAATTGGATCTTCATCGTAGAGAATTTATTATATTGTTCTTTATAGTGCGACTGATAGGAATTTCTTCTCCAGAACCTTCCTATTTGATATCTCTGTCAAGAAAAGTATCTGCTTGTGAATGCTTTTAATTTTAGGTAGATGTATGTACGGCTTTGCTGTTACAATGTAGAAGCTTTTACATCTAACTCTACAACATTAACAAATATCAAGTACCTTATTATAAGTTTTATTCTTATTTTGTATAATTTCTTGTTTGTTTTTTAAGGTAAATGTGCTAAGTGGTTGGTTTTGTTTAGTTGTGTTGAAAGACTTGAAACTAAACAGTCTTCCATTCTCTAGGTGTACGGATAAAATGGCTGGTAACATCTTACCACTCGTCTGATAGATAGTTATATATGACACTATGACAGCAAGGGTAATGCGTCTGTGTATAATTTTGCATAGAAAGCGCATGCTGGAGTTCATGGTAATGTGATTTTCAGTTGAAACTTGTGTGAAGACTGAATTTAGAGCTGCATTACTATATACATTGACATGAGGTTTTCCATTTGAGTCCATTACTGTTAGCGTCATTCATACTACCGCCTAATAAACTGGTCACTATTGTCACAGGACTTCATATAAATTTGATGGTTGATACTCTCTTGTTGGAAAGAATCTGATACTTGGGTACCTTGTGTTTTTGATCTGTCACCAAAAATGACAAAGAATTGCTTTATTTTATCTACAATGAATTCTCAGAAATCTCTAATCTGAAGCTATGAGAGCCATTCATTTTTTATTTTAGCTTTGCATCAGCCATTAGGCGTTAGATTATTTGTTTAGCATACATCGACAAAATTAATTATGCTCGGTTGAGTAACTTTAGTCAGTTGGCTGTCGGTTTTCACCATTCTGTTCATGCTAATGAATGTTCATGCAGCTGAATGACTAATCAACCCTACTTTTGGTGCATGCTTCTTCTCTACATGTGCTAAAAACTGTATGTTTACCCTGCTACTAAACCCCTCCTCACCGACACTGCTATTTGTGTATTGCTAATCTTGTTCATGAAAAAACTCAGAGATTTTTATGGAAATCTGTCCTGTAAAGTGTCCCATCTTTTAAATTTATAGGTACCAACTTACAACAATATCTCACATTCAATCATCAGAAGCTTTATTTAATGTGGGTCCTCAGTTTTTATGCATTAAAATGTACTGTAATCTTCAACTGTTTGATATGCTCTTCTTAACTTCCTCTATTTCTTTTCTTTTCTTTTCTTTTCTTTGCTTCGGGGTGGTTTGCAACATGTCCGTAAGAAGACCCCCACAGAGGATCTTGCTTTGTTTAGACTGGTTATTATTCTTGTGATTCCTTACTTTACAGAAGCGAAAGTTCCGCTTAAAAGAACTATATCTCCCTTGCATTGTTTTTAAATGGAACTGGTTAGACTTCCTTTCTTCCCCTTCGTCTTTACTTTGTTTATAACCTTTTTATCAGGGTGGCAATAAGGTTGTTTGGATTGAATTAATTTTCTTCCGGTCTTATTAGGGCGATGAGTCATTTAGTTTGGATTATATAGGTACTATTGAAATTAGATTGTTATGATATTAATCAATACAATCCATTAGTACTCGGTTTGGGCCAGGTAAAATCGGACAAGTTATTATGGGTAGAGAAATTGGATCATATACGGGTTAATTTTTAAACCGGCCTTTTTCTATCCTTTACAAGGTTATACTAGAAAATAAGATCAAAGAACCTTCCCTCTCTTTTTGTGTTTGCCTTTGATTAAACAATAATTAACCAAAGTAAGCTTTAGTATGGAGATTAATATATCATAACCAAAAGCCATGGTTCCAAAATATCACGCTGTTCTTTAAGTTATCGCCTTTTTTTTTAACTGCTAATGATTTGTGAAGAAAGCAGCACAGTATCTTACTTTCCTCCATTTTCGACGCGTTTAGGTGGTGAAAGTTGTTGCTAATCATCTGTTAAGAATATTCTTAATCAGGTCTAATCATCAGGCTCTACCTTAGCTATGAACTGATAATTCTAGGCAAAAACAAAGATGGTCATCAACTTTAAGCTCAGAATGTAACAACTGAAGCTGTAATTCAGCGTCTTTTAGTGTGATTTGTGTTAATTTGGTGGGACTATGAGTTGGCAAAGTTCTAAAGTTTGTTTATATATTTTAGTTGATTTGGGTGTTACATTATTAATTTTATTATTATTATGCAGGTCCAATGATTTTTCGAGTTTATATTATAGGCGCAAAATGACAATTTACTTAAATTTACAGGTTTTAGAAGTGATACATTATAGGACAGTTTTAGCGCGATTTGTAATTTTACTTGTTTATATTAATAGCCTCTTATTATTGGGAAAATCAACTTGATGTTATGTTTCAACTGAAACTTTGTACGAAAGAGTATAAAATATCTTTAATGGCCTTGTTTTTTAAGCGTTAATGAATGTCATTGGCCCTAACATTCACACCTTTTAGAAAACACTAATTAGATGTGAATGCTAGGGACATGGTTACCTTTCACTAAAGGCCCGTCGGACATGATTGGTGTCAATGATGTATTTTTGTTACAAAAGTCTAATCATAATATTCATCGCGGTGGTTGCTAGTTTAACATTTCGCCTATTTTTATTTGAGAGGTGGTATTGAGTCAAGCGAAATTTGTGATTCAAATTCAAATTTAAATTCGATAAAGGTTTTTCATTACTATGGAAATTGACATGAGACTTAACTTACAAATTTGTTATTATTGTTTTACATTACCTTATGGTAATTAATTTGTCTCTTTTATGCGCACATTTTTTTTTTGAAACAAATCAATTTATTAATAAAAAGTCATCCGGCATCTACAAATGAAATCTAAATTAACAAATACATAAAATTGAATCAAAATAGGTTTTCCTTCATCAGAGCTACGATTATTGAAAAGATCATTCACTGTGGTACATCTCTCGCACACATCGCTGGAATATACAGCCTTTTTGGAGAGACTTGAAGGCGTTAAAGCCTATGGAAAACTGCACATTATGAGAAGTGAATGTGAATATTTATAGTTCTTGTTAGGTGACTTAAAGGCGTTAAAGCCTATGAAAAACTGCACTCAAAATTATGTTCAATACAAAGTTTTAGGCATTATTAAGTATACTTTAGGCTCTATACAGGTATAATCAACAATGAGATTTATACAAGATTTTGTAGTATATTATTAATTTTCGAGTGTTTTCATGAGCCAAAGGAATATTATGATCGACAATTAAACTAGTGCCAAACCACCTAAAAAGAGTGTCTAGCCTCCCTTGTTCTTATATGGGGTGCCAATTGCTGCTAGGATTCTTAGGAGTGGATTAACCCTACTTCATAATCTATTATTATCCTGTCGATGCAGTTGGTTACATAATAATACAGCCTGATTTGCTTCTTTTGTTAATTAACAAACCATATCTTTCGTATGCTACAAAATTAATAACTACAGAACTACTTCATCTTTAGAAATTGAAGGTAGTTTGTTTAACAATGACTAGTCGACTAAAATGACAAAAATTTATTTTATTGAATTTTGGTAGTAACCTACAAAAGACTATGGTGTATAAATTTGCTCATCGAAATTATACACGCACACACCTTCTCATCCACGCTCGTATTGCCCACATACACTTCATTCATGTAAATGCATTAGATTGTACGTGAATGCTTCATACAATTCTTATTAAGTTATAGTCCCTTCATCTCTATTTAGTTGACATGATTTTATTATAATATATGCATGACTTTTAAACAAACATCAAATTTACAATGGTTTCTCACGTAATTTGTATTGCCTTCTTTTAAAAGCAAAGTTGTTGTAGTATCAACCAATAACCGATATCATCTTTTCTTGGTCAAATCTTCTTCTCTCCCAATAATTTCATGCTAACTACTATAAGCATAATGATATTACCAACTTAATGTAGTAAGTAGGTTATTAATCGATAATCATTAGTTGATAGAAATTAAATTCAATAAGTTTACATAGTTATAATAAATTAATAATCATATAGTATAATATGGTATAGTACTATAGTAGTAGTTTTTTTCTTGCATAAACTTTTCGGATTTTGTTTTCCCTCAACTTTAATTTATGCCAAAATTGTAATTTTTCAATTCGTCGATTCTTGATAGAAGCAAACAAAAACTAACTGCTGTCGCATAAACTATAAAGATCAAGATTTATCTACTCCAATTTGCACCTCTTCAGCATCATTCTTTATAAAGTACGTAGAAATTGTAACACATTTAAAGTATAGGACAAATTTTGCGGTTGTTTTTTTCCTCTTCGTTTCAAATAAATTGTATAATCCAAATGTTATAAGTGGGACTTGAATGCTTTATTACGTGTCTTACCAAACTAACTTCTTCATGAATGCTCGACAACAGGAATACAAGTATTACCATCATACCGTACATTTTTTATATCATTTTTAAACGCGTTACATAGTACTGATTAACATAACTTAAAATTAGAGATAAATGAATAACAATGTTGACACCTCAAAAATTAATTTTGGCAAATTTATGGTGAGCAAACGATCAAGCCCTTCTCACTTCTGTTAAAGGTGTTCCAAAATCAATTTCCGGTAATAATAATTGTTAATTTGAATTATTAAGTTGAATTGGCAATTAATTAAGTGTTGTTGCTATTTAGATTTAATAAAATATCATTTTCCTTCTTCCCTTTGAATATTAATGTGTATTTGTTAACAACATGGCAAAAAGAAACTAAAAACTGAACTAACAGACCACATATTAAAGGCAAAGGGACCCAAATGAGTTTTGTGGATACCATGTGGAAGGTTTGACAACACTTTTTATAAGGCATGTTCTTAATATTAAGGACCCCTCTTGGGCAATTAGTTCACAAAAATATCAACTAAATTTCACCAAATATATATATATTAAGGTTGGTGGGGGTGGTGGTGGTGCATCGGCGGTTTTCTGGGTGCGTGAGGTGGTGGTGGTGGACGGTGTTGGGTGGTGGTGGGTGGTTTGGGTGATGCTTGGTGGTGTTGGAGGTGGTGGGCAATTTAATTTAATTAAGGTTGTATTTTTTTTTTTTTGGGTTGGATTATTAATAGTTAAGCATATAACCTTATTATTCCATAATCATGTTTTCAATCTTTTGCCTTGGTTTCTGAAAACTTGTACTTTGTTGCAACTAAAATGAACCGGAGGTAGTATATATATATATATATATATATATATATATATATATATATGTATATATATATATATATATATATATCGTTATTTTATTACTTGCAACACAATTTAATAATACGTATTTTGAGAAACAGATTAGATAATATAAACGTACATTGAAAAGCTATTTTAATACCCTACCCGTTCCAAACATATGCAAATAAGAAAAACGTAGTAGGTTGTTTATTAATTTCTTGACTATCTAATTCGAGTATGCATATATAGAAACGTTTATTTTACACTTTAGTTTATATCATTATACAAAAAACTAAGTAATTAGAGGTTTAATTAAGCATGGAGAAAGCTTCAGGATACTTGATAAAAAGGAAAGCATCTTATCTACAAATTAAAAGGACAATAAGTAAGGTAGGGTATGTATATAATCTATTTTCCTTTAAGATATATGGCTTCTTTTACATTATATCCAGAGGTGTTAATATTCTATGGACCACCTTTAATTTTAGTCCTTTTGTTTCTTTGCCATCCATTCATTTATTTTGGTACTGTGGTTTTTGCCCTCATGCATACGATTTATATGTTGATTGGCTTAATAATTTTCATCAACATTTATTAGCTTTGAAAATTAACTCCTATCCATATATTTTTGAGTCAAAACTATGATAATGAACTATATATATACGTACTCTAAAAATATATATATTATTGGTTGTTAAAAACATGAATTATATACTCATAAATAATTTATCAACGTCTTTTGTAGAATGTGTCCTATTAAACCAAAACTTTACGCAAACATGAAATACATTTGTCCTTAAACCTCTCCTATAATTCAAACCATGTGTGTAATGTACATATTGCATTGTATGGAGAATAGCATTGAAGGTGGGGAAAAAAGTTAAGAGCTTCAATTCATAAAAGTAGTACTATATATTGAAGAAGGATAGAAATTAATAGCAATATGGAAAAACAATGCATAAAAAGAAAAGGCATGTGTCACAAATAGTTCTAATTTAAAAGTGTAACAATTTGGGAAGATGTCTTAGATCAATTCTTTGGCTTGCTTAATGTGACTTGTCCTATATATTATTGTCTTATTTAACAAATGTCTTAAGAGTACATGTGAGATGTTTCACGAGACAAAATAGTTTGAAAAAAGATCGAATTTGTGAGATTTAGAGTGTATGTGTTGAGGCTATAATTAGTATTTGGTCCAACAAAATTGTTGATCACAAAACTATTAAAAGTACACTGCATTGGGCGCATATTTTCTACTGTACAACTTAATTAAAGTTCATTTTAATCAATATATATCAGTATTTTATATTAAATAGTATCGATATTATGATTTTTATTTCTATAAATCAAAGGAAAGAAAGCCGAGGAAGTATAATACTATAAAGAATAATTCATACTCTACAAAATAAAGTAGTTGGTTTGTATGTCAATTAATTACACGGTAATAAATATTATTTCAAGTACTTCATACTTAGAATAAAAATAAGATGGAAATAATACACACGGTAATAATTAATGAAATCAGTGCAAGGTGTAAACCGGTAAATTGGCCGTTTAAGGACAAGTTAGATAGTTTAACCCACCCAATTGGACTCCAAGAGGGCATTAGGGACCATGGTAAAAATTTTGGCAATTTTTATTTCCAGGCAAAAAAAAAAAAGTAAAAAAATTCCAAAATTGAAGGCTTATATCCACGCTTTTCGAGAAATTTTAGAGGTTTCAGGGCACGGTGTCAAAAAGGCCTTGAGATTTTAAGGAATACATCTCGGGGTCATATAATGACGTTTGGAACCATATGTGATCATTATATGTTGTCATAATGTTCGTGGTAGGATTGATTTAATGAAATCGGTGCTAGTTATAAACCGGTAAATAAGCCGTTTAAAGGCAAATTGGAAGGTTCCACCCACTCAATTGGACTCCCGAAGGGTATTAGGGACCATGGTAAACATTTCGGCAATTACTATTTTCGGGCGAAAAAAAGTCTAAAAAATCCAAAAATAAAGGCTAATATCCACGATTTTTGAGAAATTTTGGAGGTTTCGGAGCCCGGTATCGAAAAGCCTTGAGATTCTGGGGAATACATCTCGGGGGCATATAATGTCGTTTGGAATCATATATGCTCATTATTTGTTGTCATAAATGTTCGTGGTAGGTTTGAGTTAATGAAATTGGTGCAATTGTAAACCGGAAAATTGGCCGTTTAAAGGCAAATTGGATGGTTC